TGAAGGATTTTTGGTGTTTTTCGGGGCCCGCCGTCGGAGGGTCGGCGGTTTGGGGCGCGCTTCACCTTAGAGCTCTAGTCGCTCTGGGACGCTCGTGGGGCAAGCCACTCGTGGGGAGCCGGCGGAGCCGAATTTTTGGGCTGACGCCCCTCGTCGGCTCCGCCGGACCACTCGGCCCTCCATTTCATCGCAGTGTGGGCGTGAAAGTTACTGAATGAGGACCTGCTTCAGAAATATATTCCTTAGTTTTTTTGGAACGTATTTGTTGGAATAGACGATTTTTTGGGGAGCAAGTGAGTTCCCGAAAGCTCCTGCGAAGGGTTTTTCCTAAAGAACTGCTGCCGATTTCAACTTGTTACTTCGTGTAAAGGCGCCTCTGTGCAAAGACTTCTGTGTAAAAGCTTTTGTGTGTAAAAGTTTCTGTGTGTAAAAACCACTTTGTGTAAAGACTTTTTTGTGTAAAAACTTCTCTGTGTGAAAGCACGTCTGTGTAAAGATTTCTCTGTGTGTAAAAGCTTCCGTGTGTAAAAACTCTCTGTGTAAAGGCTTCTCTGTGTAAAAGTTTCTGTGTGTAAACGCGTCTGTGTGTTAAAGCTCTCTGTGTAAAGACTTCTTTGTGTAACAGCTTTTGTGTGTAAAAGCTCCAAGACGTTGTGTGAAAAAGCTCCTCAGAGGAAAGACTTCTCTGTGTAAAACCTTCTGTGTGTAAAAAGCTACTCTGTGTAAATGTGTAAAAGCCCCTGCGTATGTAAAAGCTTGCTGTGTGTAAACGCTTTGGTGTGTAAACGCTCCTCTGTGTAAAGGCTTCTCTGTGTAAAAGCTTCTGTGTGCAAACGCGTCTGTGTGTAAAAAGCCCTCTGTGTAAAGACTTCTTCGTTTAAAAACTTCTGTGAGTTAAAGCTCCTAGACGTTTGTCTGCAAAAGCACCTTAGAGTAAAGACTTCTCTGTGTAAAACCTTCTGTATGTAAAAAGCTCCTTTGTGTAAAGACTTCTCTGTGTAAAAGCCCCTGTGTGTGTGTGTAAAAGCTTCTGTGCGTCTCCTCCCTCCAGCTTTCTTTCGGGTCACGCTGTCGTCCAGTTTCAATCTGCAACGTTGTTTCTTGTGGAAGAGTGCAAAATAATGCAAAGAACATGTGAAAGCATCGCGCGTTTAGAAATTGAACATAAACAGCGCACAAAGTGCTGTAATTTACAGCATATTGCGCTGTCAGCTGGCAAGAACCCGCGTAAATACCACAGTTTTAGTCCCCCAAAGTGGCTAAAACACTGTTATTTACAGTGTTTCGTTCACGTCACGATCTTCGATTTTTTGGGAAACGCGTAAATACCAGCGTTTTTTGCGTTCATCAAGGCAAAACATCGGTTCAAAAAGTGCAAAACATGCTGTAATTTACAGGGGTTTGGCGCCGTCACGGGCAAAAAACTGTGTAAATACCAGCGTTTCAGCGCCCAAAAGTGGCCAAAACACCGCTATTTACAGTGTTTCGTGCCTTCCACGTTTTCTTGAAATTGCAAAACAGTGTAAATACCAGCATTTTTTGCGATCAACTTGCCAAAAATGCTGTAATTTACAGTGTTTTTTTGCTTTGCTTGCAAAAACACTGGTATTTGCAGTGTTTTATGCATCTCGAGTCCAAAAAGTATTGGTATTTACAGCATTTTCTGCGTTTTTGCATGGCTCCCGCAAAAGACGTCAAAACGCAAAAATGCTGTAATTTACAGCATTTTGTGACTTTCGAAAAGTTGAAAATCGTCC